TTTTATATATTAAAAAAATATAGATTATTCATATTTCCAGTCTATAAATCTTCCTATAATTTCCCTTTACATAAAACACTATTACAATGAATGCAGGTAAAATTGACGACACACATAAGTAGATGTTATCCACAATCCACTGCATATTAAATTCAGGAATACACCTGAGAATATCCCTATCCTAAATCCAGATTATATATACCTATCAGGACAATGTTTCCTTTCTATGTGAAGAGAAAGAAGCAGATAATTAACTGACATCGGAGAGATGGGGAATGGATGAAGACATTTGTGTTGGTGGGTATTACAGTCCAGCACCGGGACACACAGGTGTCAATGGGAGCTGAATATTATCAGGGCTCTCTGATAGATAAAATACCTCCATTACCACACAGGAGAAATCATCTGCTCAGAAATGCCAGAGAGTCTATAGCAGGCATATCAATTATAAGGCCAAAGGCCAGATCGATATTAGTAATTTATGTCATGTAATCACATGTGCTGAATATTGTAATCAAAGTTTATATTAGAATGAGATTAGAGTTTTGGAATCAGAATGAAATCGATATTATATAATAACATTTTGAAGTCATATTTATTATTGTTTTCAGAAAAAGTATTTTAATTTACTACTACTATACTATTCATACTACTACGTTCTTTAATCATAGTTTGTGTTACACATAAGTATTTTCATTCTCTACTACTTTCCTTAATCATAGTTTGTGTTTCCTATAAGTATTTTCATTTACTACTACTACTACCATCCTTTATCATAGTTTGTGTTACACATAAGTACTTATATTTACTAGTACATAAGTACTTATATGTATATGTATATGGTTTGTGTTCCTTATAAGTATTTTTTTATCATAGTTTGTTTCCTATAACTATTTTCATTTACTACTTCTTTCCTTAATCATAGTTTGTGTTACACATACGTATTTATATTTACTAGTTATACTTTCCCTTATAGTTTGTGTTCCACATAAGTATTTTCATTTACTACTACTACTACTACTACTTTCCTTTACCATTGTTATGTTATTCATAAGTACTTGTATTTACTAGTAGCACTACTTTCCCTTATCATAATTTGTGTTCCTCATAAGTATTTTCATTTACTACTACTACTACTTTCCTTTATCATGGTTTGCGTTCCTTTTAAGTACTTCCATTTATCATAGTTTGTGTTCCCCCTAAGTACTTTCATTTAGTACCATTTACATTACATTGAGATATACAAGACAGATGGACTTATTTTTTGTTTGTTATCTCTGCGGTGATATAGGAATGTTTTACATAAGTATATATAAGTATGAATAGTTTTTCTAGCTAAGTATATATAAGTATGAATAATTTCTCTCCAACTACACAGGTTTTCGTAAATAGGTTTAGTTATATGACAATGCTGCACGTTACAATATCGGATACACAACACTAATATCTGTATGTGATGACCTCACAGAATAATACCAATGAATGGTTATGTGGGATTTTTGTTTACTGGTGGAGGATCGAATAAAAGGAAAACATGATCCTTGTTAAAATGACAATAAAGTGAAGGAGGCGTCATTACAATTTCCCTTATTATCACCCTACATATTACAATCTCCCTACTATACCGATGCAGTGATTGTTACAAACAGTTGGTGTAGTAAATGTATCGTATGTAAGGATTTCTTCTCTAATACACTAACTCTGCTTTCACTATCTGTAAAAAAAATAAGTCAAGGCAACTGGACTTGCTGTATTTGTACACAATACAGCAAGTCCAGTTGCCTTGACTTATTTTTTTTTTTTTTTTTTACAGATCTACCATGACCTGGATGAATGAGAACCTTCACAGACACATCTGCTTTCACTATTTTAAAGATTGTAAACTTTAGATTTATCAAGTTATTCGTTTTATGGAATGGTTAGGAGGAAAGTTACACCAAAACGAAACAAAATCACGTTTGTGAATAGTAATTTCTATCCTCTTCCGCCTCGGACTGTCATACATAGAGGGGGGGCTGTTCATGGTCACCTATGTAAACCATCACTGTCTTATTATTACATAGACACGATTATAATACTAATATATATTAAATATGGATTCACACACGCTGCCAGAACAGTGATAAATGTTTTGTTTTATCCTCTAACTCAAGCAGCTGTCAGTGTGTATTAATATGAGCAATGATCAAAGCACAAGGCTGAATCTGTTATTACATGGGCTGGGGGGGACCTGGGAGTTCCAGAGGTGCTCAGTACACTCTCTCCCAAATGCACTAGAGAAGTCTGGGGGATGGTACAACAGAGACCCTACTATTTACATAACCACAACAGGAAGCTGAAAATAATAATAATAATCTAATATGTTTCTATACATAATGTGCATGTACGTGGTTTAGACATTATCAATATAGAAGTTAAATCTGATACACATAGTAAAGAAAATAGTATATTACACACTGTCTATGTATCTATCTATATGTGTGTACATAAAATTAGACATATCATTTCTCGCTAGCATCATTCCAACATTATAATTGGCAATATTGGATTTAACTCTCCAGTATAGCAGACATTATAAATGTTTTTCATTCTTATTATTTATAGGACAAGTATAAAAACGGGCAAGTCTGCCACCCCAAGATTTATACCTACCTAGGCTGGGTCTCCTGCCAGACAAGGCCGATCTGCCCTGCAAAGTGTGCAGCATGGTGCTGTCAAAATGCCCTGGTGCCCAGGTAGGTGCCATCTCCGGGCTGACATAGGGGTACGGTGTGGAGTAAGAGCCATTGACTGAGCGCACCAGCGCGTTGCCATACTGTTCCCGCGTGCCCCCGCTCAGCATCAAGGGGCTCTGGTGGTGGTAGGCTGCCTCCCTGCCAGTGTTGTTGCCCATCGGTGGGCTGTGGGAGTAGGTGAAGCCGGAGGGGGTATGGGGGCTGCTGCCGTTGAAAGCGTGGCTCTCGTTGGCTGTCTGTGGCCACCCCGGGTGGCTGCCCAGGTGGGGGTGGTGCCCTTGGTGGGCACTCTCACAGCTCTGCAGGTAAGGCAGCGGCTGCAGCATGGCCGGCACCCGGCTGGTGGGGACGTAAACCGGAGGGCTGGTGGTCTGGTGGAGGAAGTTGGCCGAGTCATGAGTATAGGCGGACTGGCCGTGGTTGGAGGTGAGAGCAAGGCTCTGGTACATCTCTCCTCTCGGTGCAGATTAGATCCAACAGAAGGAAAATAAAGGCTCTCCAGGCTTCCAGGACTGGTAAGATCCCCTTCCAGGACCAGTGGTGGATCCCTCTTCCAGATCTGCAGAGGACAAGTACCTGGAACAGTGTGGAGAAAAGGAAACTTAACATGAGACTCCAAACTCTGCTGGGGGAGGGAACTGACTTCTGGGGGGAAATGCACTCAACACTCAGATTCCTGGGCATAACCTGCACTCTACACAGCCAGGCATGCCCTCCCAGAGCTGCACCCTCACATCTCTCGTTCCCCCCAAACTCTGGGTTACTTATTTCTGAAGAAAAATTAGCTAAATCGTACTTTATATGACAGATTTATAAGCATGGGGTAGACTTTCCCTGGTAAGTAGGACATGTAGGTTCGTTACCTCCCACACAGATTGCAGGGCCTACAATGACCCCTATAAAAAGAAGCTTGCTACAAATGTTTGTAAAAAAAAGAATACATGCTTTTTAAAAGGCAAGCATTGAGTTAAAAGTGTGTCTTCCGGGTGACTCTGTCCGTTGAAACGAACAAAAAATATAAAATATTTTTGATTTTGTGTCACATATCTTCAATGACACATGCCATGCTTGTGAGGCTCGGGTATCCTATCCATAAATGGCATGGCATACTGAGATGTCTAGGGCCATCCGCATCTAGCCTGCACTAGAAACAATTTGGAAAAGCAAATAAAAAAAAGCATATCAAGGTTTGGGCATGTTGACCTTAATTAAATGTCAGACCTAAACCTTTAGTCCATTCATAGCTGAATGGTCACTTCCTACAAAAATGAAAGATTGGTAAACGTCGCAATTTGCTTCAAAAATAAAAGAAGATATCCAGTGCCCAAAGAAGGGGCATTCTTTGCCCCCTCCAGAACTAGAACCAGCAAGAAAGAGAATTGCTGCCAATCACATTCTGGTGAGTCCAGATGGCAGAGGTCTTGCCCGCCTGGCTCTGCCGGGGACACTGGATGGCCCCGCTGCACTCACACGACTCATAGCCCTTTGATAACACGGGGTATAAATCGTGCATCAAGCGCAAACATTTGTATTGTGATAACAGGGATCCATCCCTCATTATGCGGCACATTATCAGGCAGCAGCGGTGTAAATCAGTGTCCTTGCTGATCTTCCAGCACTTTATCCGGATCTGCCTCCCCTGGTTTATCTGACAGATAAGGGCAGCTGGTTAGATATGGGGCTGCAAGGGGAAGAGAGGTACTCACTCTGCTTTGGGCGCTGCAGGAGTGGAGAGGTCTGTCCCAGGCTCCAGGATTCCTTTGCTGGTCACTCTGTAGGGAGTGTGACGCCCGGATCGGGTGAGAAAACCTCCAGAAGAACGGCTGGCTACTTCGGCAGTGCTCCGCTGACCTGTGAGTGCGAGTGACTGTGGCAGACTTTACAGCAGGGCAATTGTATGGGCAGAGTCACGTGACGCGGCCCAGATAGGACCTGTTGTCTCTGGGGATTGGTGAACTGAGCTCACACAGGCAATGCATCCCTATGGGGCACCCAGCACGTCTGTGGAAAGAGGAACATGCTGAGAACTGGCACCTGGCTACAAGGGCACTGTGTTTGTGCAGGGGGCTGCATGGGAGGGAGATGATAATAATGTTATACACAATAAGAGAGACCCCTACATTTTATACCCTTCCGCTAAGAGCACATCAAATGTACAAACACAATATGTACAATATAATCAATAAAGTGACATGTGATTTGTTGGTAAGGGTTACCTAACACCCATAGCAACAAATCACGTGTCACTTTACTGAAGGTGTACCCAGGTACAGAATCACTGATTTTATATTGCTTCAGTACATATATATGTATGCATCGTCTCTGGACGATGGTAAAGTACAGTTGGTCATACATACTCTGAAACATATTTGTACAGGGGCCGGTACAATTGATATATACTTGTATGATATATACTAGGAGGGGAATTTATCAGGACTGGAGCAGATTTGCACTGCAGCCAATCAGCTTCTCTCTTTCATTTTCAAATCTTACCTGAGCAAACTGAAGAGAGAAGCTGATTGGTTGCCATGCACAACTGCTCCAGATTTTGTCTTCTCAATTTTTGATAAATTCCCCTCCATAGATTTATTATATACAATAAGTATATGATATATACTAATATATACTCTATATTTATGTGATAACGCCGAATATATAGAATGAATGATGTGTGAATAAAGAATGGAATACACTGCACATTGTCAGTATTCGGGATGCAGGAAACCTATGGAATATAAAGGACACACATTGTAATTTCTAGCAGTGTGTATAGGATTTTAGCAAAGTCAGTGTACAGTATTATATTTCAGTGTTGTTTATATACATTATCGGGGTGTATCTGCAGTTGATGATAATGGTCGTCAGATCTGCAATACACTGGGAACATGCTTCTTCTTCTTCTTCTTCTTCTTCTTCAATGAACGATACGATAGTATCGATGTTAATATACAGTATAAATATGATGCATTTAGCATGAACGGGGCAGGATATCATTATGTGAGGTGATTGTGGATGTTTTAACATAGAGAATGTAACAGTTGAATCTGTTATATAGGGTGGAGTATGTAGATTACACATTAGTCTCCAAACTTCCATAACACATGGGCTCAGTATGTGGATTTGTTCCCTATATATATATATACACACACATCATAGGTCCGGAGTACATACATTCTGCTATTTATATTGATATGCACATTTGGTATTTGGGTGTTTATTTGGTGTGATTGGAAATTTACTTTGTCACACTTCAGGTCCGTCTCCAAAAATTCTCAATAAATAACTGATCACATTACACGTTTGATGTTACACACGATTAGTTTACATTATCCCTTAGCTGTACACATATGTGTTATTGTTAAGGAACACATGTGTTATTATTGAGGTACACCTATGTGTTATTATTGATGTATACATATGTGTTATTATTAAGGTACACATATACGTTATTATTGAGGTACACATATGTGTTATTATTGAGGTACACCTATGAGTTATTATTGTTGTATATATATGAGTTATTATTGAGGTACACCCATGTATTATTATTGATTTACACATATGTTATTATTGATGTACATGTGCTATTATTGAGGTACACCTATGAGTTACTATTGAGGTACACCTATGAGTTATTATTGAGGTACACCTATGAGTTATTATTGAAGTACACCTATGTGTTATTATTGAGGTACACCTATGAGTTATTATTGAAGTACACCTATGTGTTATTATTGAGGTACACCTATGAGTTATTATTGAGGTACACCTACGTGTTATTATTGATGTATACATATGTGTTATTATTGATGTATACATATGTGTTATTATTGAGGTACACCTATGTGTTATTATTGAGGTATACATCCTTATGTATTATTACTGGAGATATCTGCATTATTTGATAGTAACATGATTGGTTACATTACTGCACCGAGTACATATGTGTGTGTGTTGTATTTACAGTACACTTCTTCACATTAGATACACTATAAAATATCATTGTATGTAGTACTCGTATGTATACGAACATTCTACAATATTATAAATGTCTGTATTAATAATGTCACCCTGAAAGCCAACACCACAGTATGATACATAAATATACGAGTAAATAAAGCTATTGATGTCTATCACATATTATATTTCCTAAGTGTATCTATTAAACATGTACATTCTTTGATCTTGCTTTCTACACCAATACACTTTTAATTATTTGTAAAAACGAAGAATTACTCTACATATGGAACCTGGTGACATTACACACCAGACTCTGATACAATTGCACCTACTCGCACTTACTATATTCTTAGTAATTTTTTACCAATCCGACTAATTTCTCTACCTGTGTGGTGTGAGACCATATTTAGTAATTATGTTAATGGACGTTGCCATGGACACTGATATATAAAACGTAAAGCTGTTTCCCATAGCAACCAGATACCCGTTTAATTCTAAAAAACCCAAGACGGGATTGGTTGATGTGGGCCGCTGAGCCGGCCACCCAGCCATCTCATGGCACTGAAGGGACAACTGTCCCTATCTCTGGGATCACACTGCGCCAGTCTGAAGGCCTTTCTACTGGTTTTATCACAAGGGAAAAGATTGTTTATTTGTGACAGAAGGGAGAATGTTTACTGAAGTCAGCCTGGAATATATACATAGTGATACAGTGTCACCCAGACAATAACAAACACTCCTGCTGCTGGATACAATGTAACAACAATGTAAAAGGTGCTCCGATACAGACTTACTATCGGCAGCCTAATATAGAGACAGAGCTGAGGTCAAGTCAAACATATTACATTTGGTTTAACAGATCAATATATATTTTTCACAATCCACTCACAGTGACAGATTAAAAATGGGCAACTATTGTAATCGATTTTATTTTACATGCCAAAGATGTGAAATCAGACATACTTGATTTTCGACTCTGGGAGAATGTTTCAGCGAATCGCTATATCGTTATTCATCGCCTTTATACCCAGATACATTTAATTCAGTATATCAATCCCTCCCTATCCCTCATGGATATTTCTGTCCTATACAGTAAACTCAAAATACATAGAAAGAGATTTAGGAAACAAGTCCAGCGCAGGAAGTACATCATAATAATACTAATAATAATAGTAGATGAAACTTCATAAGTGACGATATGCGGGTGGTCGGTGAATGTTGTATGACAATAATGTGCACATTTCAGATGCTATTTACAGCCATGAACACACATCAGATAGGAGCTGGTGAGAAGTAGATGTCTGTGTGCACTGTATGATATTATACAGGTGAAACTCAAATAATTAGAATATCGTGCAAAAGTAATTGCAGTAAGTGTTGCAAAAGGGGCCCAAACCAAGTACTTAGTACATATGCATGCTTGTACTTTTCAGAGGTCCGATATTGTTCTATGTACAATCCTTGTTTTATTGATTGCATGTAATAATCTACTTTTTTGAGGTTGCGGATTTGGGGTTCTTGGGGTTTTCATGAGCTGTAAGCCATAATCATCACAATTATGACAAATCACGGCTTGAATTATCTTGCTTTGCATGTAATGAGTCTCTCTCATATATTAGTTTCACCTTTTAAGTTGCATTAGTGAAATAAATGAACTTTGCACGATATTCTAATTATTCGAGTTTCACCTGTATGTGTTCTTCATACATGTATATGTAGTGTCCATGTGCTTCAAAGGACATACATACGTGAACACTGTAATCATAATGTGCTCTCCATACCATTCTCCTGACTTTGTATCACTATAATAATATCAATGACCTTTCATAATACACCCCTCACTCTATGGTATATTCAGACGAATGTTTCATCTGCTCGGACCTATTATCAGTTCATTATTACAATGACATGAACATCATGTACAGTAGATATCACATATCAACGTTATTCCGCCCATTGGGAAGCTTTGTGTGTGATCATATATAATAATAAACTTGTATTACCTGAGGGTACCAAAAAGTTTGATTGAATAGATAATGTGTTAGAGAGAAGAGACTGGAAGAAGAGAGAAGGGCCAAAACACAGAAATAGAGAGAAGAAAGCGAATATAGAGGATGGGGACAGAGCTGTGTGAATGGCTGCATTGTGAACAGTAGGGACCATTTCTGAAAACCCCATCTACACTATACGTGCTCTTGCTGCACTGACCTAATGGGTTGCTCTGTGCTCTTGCTGCACTGACCCAATGGGTTGCTCTGTGCTCTTGCTGCACTGACCCAATGAGTTGCTCTGTGCTCTTGCTGCACTGACCTATGGGTTGCTCTGTGCTCTTGCTGCACTGACCTAATGGGTTGCTCTGTGCTCTTGCTGCACTGACCCAATGGGTTGCTCTGTGCTCTTGCTGCACTGACCTATGGGTTGCTCTGTGCTCTTGCTGCACTGACCTATAGGTTGCTCTGTGCTCTTGCTGCACTGACCTATGGGCTGCTCTGCTCTTGCTGCACTAACCCAAGGGATTGCTCTGTGCTCTTGCTGCACTGACCTAATGGGTTGCTCTTGTTGCACTGACCTAAGGGATTGCTCTGTGCTCTTGTTGCACTGACCTAAGGGATTGCTCGGTGCTCTTTCTGCACTGACCTAATGGGTTGCTCGGTGCTCTTGCTGCACTGACCTATGGGCTGCTCTGTGCTCTTGCTGCACTGACCTAATGGTTTGCTCTGCTCTTGCTGCACTAACCCAAGGGATTGCTCTGTGCTCTTGCTGCACTGACGTAATGGTTTGCTCTGTGCTCTTGCTGCA